TAAAGAGAATAAAGAGACATTAAAAAACAATCCCGTTCACAATAGTACCTCAGAAAATCAAGAACCTCGGAATCAGTTTAACCAAAGGACATATATAAGGAAAATTACAAAACACTACTTCAAGAAATAAAAGAGGACACTAGGAAATGGAGACACATCCCCTGCTCTTGGATAGGGAGGATTAACATTATCAAAATGGTAATGCTGCCCAAAGCACTATAGAAATTTATGCGGTCCTTATCAGGATACCCATGACATTTTTCAAAGAAATAGACAAAACACTCCTGAAATTCATATGGAACAATAAACCCCCACTAATAGCTAAAGCAATCCTTGGGAAATATAAATGGGTGGCATCACCCTCCCCAACTTCAAACTGTACTAAGAAGCAGTAGTAATTAAAAACGCCTGGTACTGGACTAGAAACAGACTTACAGACCAATGGAACAGAGTTGAATATTCTGTCACAGACCCCCAAATATATGACCACCTAATCTTTCACAAAGGAGTAAGAAATGTGACATGGAACAAGGAATGCCTCTTCAGCATTGGTGCTTGGAAAAGTGGATAGCTACCTTCAAAAAAAAAAATGAACTCTGACCTCTTTCTAATGCCAGGCACAAAAGTCATATCAAAGTGGATTAAAGACCTCATTATCAGACATTAATCTATTAGGTACATAGAGGAAAATGTAGGCAGAACTCTCCACGACATTGAAGCTAAAATCATCTTTAAGGATGAAACAGCACTGACCATGCAAGTGAACGCAAACATAAACAAATGGGATTACATCAAACTAAGAAGCTTCTACACTTCAAAAGAAACAGTAACCAAAATACAGAAAGAGCCCACGGAATGTAAAAAATATTTATCCAATGCCCATTTGATAAGTCATTGATATCCAGGATATACAAGACACTAGTAGAATTGTACAAGAAAAAAAACCTCCAACCCCATCAAAAAATGGGGAGAAGAAATGAACAGATGTTTCCTCAAAAAAGAAATACAAATGGCCAAAAGGCACATAAAAATGCTCCACATCACTAGCCATCAGGGAGATGCAAATCAAAATAACATGAGATGTCATTTCAAACCACAGAGACTGGCACACATTCCAAAGAACCAAAGCAACCAATGCTGGCATGGATGTGGGGAAAAAGGGACACTATTTCACTGTTGGTGGGCATGCCCATTAGTCTAACCTTTCTGGAAAACAATATTCACAGTTCTTCAAAAACTATAAATTGAGCTTCCATATGACCCCGCAATACCACTTCTGGGAATATATCCTGAGGATGCAAAAACGCACAGTATAAATGACATCTATACCTATATGTTTATTGTAGCATTGTTCTCAATATCCAAAATCTGGAAACAACCCAAGTGCCCTATAACAGATGACTGGTTAAAGAAACTTTGGTCCATCTACACAATTAAATACTATGCAGCTGTTAGGAGAGAAGAAGTCATGAAATTTTCTTATACATGTATAGACATGAGGAGTATCATGCTAAGTGAAATGAATCAGAAAGAGAGGGACAGACATAGAAGGACTGAAGTTATTTGTGGAGTATGAAACAACATAAAATGAGGCTGACACATAAGAATAATAGATATATGGGACAGGAAGATTGCTCCACAGCTGGAAGCCTGCCTCATGAGCAAAGGGGAGAAGACAGCTGGAAGAGACAACTGATCACTAAGAAAATGATGGTTTGAGGAACCGGTCGGGATGGGAGATCTGTGCTCAAGTAGATAAAGGACCAAATGTGATAACCTCACATTATCTGTATTGCAAACCATAAGGCCCAAAAGTACAGAGAGAGTATGGGGAATATTGTCTGCCATGGAGGCAGGGGGAGGGTGAGAAAAGGGGGTATACCGGAGATATTGGTGGTGGGGAATTTGCAATGGTGTGGAGGGATGGGTGTTTGATCATTGTGTGATTGTAACCTAAACATGAAAGCGTGTATTTATATCACAGTATAGACATCATGTGATCTCATTAGTAGATACATTTTTACAGGCAGTTAAATACAGTGGCTCATAAACTTTCCTAACCATAGAAAACATCTAGTGGTATATTTATAAAACTAAGTTTTCTGACTATTCTTCACAATTTGTATCCCTGGTTTCTCATACACTTGCTTTGTTATTTTTGAGTCTCTTAATTTCAAACCAGAGAGTGGGAAAATATCTTCAAAAGACTGTTATAAAAGGGCTTTATATTTTGTGCGGGCGGGAGCGATAGCACAGCGGGTAGGGTGTTTGCGTTGCACGCAGCCAACATGACTGTCCCGAGTTCGCTTCCTCAGCCCCTCTCGGAGAGCCTGGCAAGCTACCGAGAGTGTCTCGCCCGCACGCAGTGCCTGGTAAGCTACCCATGACATATTCGATATGCCAAACACAGTAACAACAAAGTCTCCAATGGAGACGTTACTGGGCCCGCTCGAGCAAATTGATGAACAACGGGAGGACAGTGACAGTGACAGTGATATTTTGTGCATCATATCTATTTTCATATTTTAAAATGTTTTAATTTCTTTGTGTGTGTATGTGTGTTTTTGTAGGAATTTTTCCGTGTATTCTCAAAAAGCCAGACACTTGGAATCCTTTAAACTCGATTCTGGCAGTAGGACATAAAACCTATTCAAATAAAATTTAGCTACATCCTAATTTCATGTCTAAAGAGTACCAAAATCCTCCAGCTAGTAAACTCGGGGAAAAATATTTATTTTTTTTCAAGATACTTCTTAATTCATCCCTTTCATTGCCAACAGAGTATGAAAGATAAAGAAACTACTAGTGTTATTACTTATAAAAGGGGAATGCCTAGTGTGACAACATTTGGATTTCAGTCTGAAACTGATCCCGAGTTTCAGTACCACTGAATCATATGAAAATATTCCTTAGGAAAGATAATGATTTTTAAATGAAGCCAAGAAATGGCTTTATGCTTGACATAAAATCAACTGGCCTACATCAATGACCTTATAGAAACAGTAGCTGTATATCACTTCCAATAAAAACATTCACTATATTAAAACAAAGTAGGAAATAAACCTACATGAAGAAAACTAAGGAGAACTGGGTAAAATGTATTCTTTATTTTTAGAGATCTCAATAAGAAAATAGAATAAATATTGTGCCAGCATATAAAAATTGAGGGGTTTGGTATTAAAGACAGGCTAGAAACTGCTCAGATTCTCTGCATCATGAATGAGGTAAATAATTTGAAAGAGGAAAGAGTAAAGATAGTTTAATTTAGTAAAGATAATTCACTGCTGAAGATGACTCCTAGCATTTACCATACTGGTCAGTGTTAGATGAGCTTATTGGTATTCTTTGGGTTAGTTTTCCTTTAAACATTAAGAGTATAATGTGCCCAGAGAAGTTTCAAGACTATATTCCACCATTTTATGAAATGGGTAAAAGGATTTCTGTTGCTTTAACTCATGTTTTCTAAGAGAGCAAACTATTCTGTCCTTACTGGATCAAAAAGGGCCTTCTACTTCTCCAGGGTCTAATTATATCAAAGTGACATTCCTCAGTCTAATTGACCTGATCTTTTTTTTCAGATATCTTCAGGAAACAAACCAATTCTTTGCTTGGGGCCCACTAAAATCTAAGGTAGCATGAGGTTTCACCCCTTATGTAGTCAGGGTCCGCGCCCTTCTGTCAGCATGAAGCAGTTTCAGAAGATGGACCACCGACCATTTTCCCCTTAAATATTTAAGGTGGTAAAGTCCTAGGGGGGAATATGATATAGCAGGTAGATAGAGAAATTCCCTGGACAATGAAACAGGTCAGCAAAATTTCTGGGAGGAAAATTCCAAGGCTGACCCACTTTGTGGATACAGATGAGACCTTGAGCAGTGGATCCTGAGGAGATTGAACCCCTCCCCATGAAGGATATTCCTCAAATTCCCTCGGACCTCTTCTTCAATCTCATTAACTTTAGTTATTCAGCCCAAAGAAGACCATCACCACTCCCAACCTCCTTGGTAACCTCCTTATCAACAGGCTTTTACCTGGGAAGAAGCCCCACGTGGGGGCAGGTTGGAGAAACCCTATAATGGACACCTTGAACAAATGAAGGGTGTGCATATGCGACCCGATCTCATGTGCTGCTCGCACCCACGTGGCCGAGCACATGTGGTGCCCAAGCACACGTGTCGCCCACATCTCCCCTTTTGAGATGTGTAGTTTCATGCTTTCCTGTATAATGCTAGGATGTGTGCAGGGGCTCTCTCTGCCCCTGGAGAAGCCCGTACTCTCTCTTGAGTCCATTATTCTCTCTCTCTCTCACTCTCTCCCCCCTCCACACCTTAAAAATCCTCCAAATAAAATCTATTTATTTCAAAAAAAAAAGTAAAGGTATAGTTAAGCTGCAATAGCTTCAGGTTGGAAAGTTTGAGGGTTTCTTTTTTTTTGAGGAGTGGGCTTGGGTAACACCTGGTGATGCTTGGAGGTTAATTCTAGCTCTGCACTAAGAAATTACTCCTGGTGGTTCCAAGAACAATATGGGGTGCTGGGAATCGAATCTGTGTTTGCCACGTGCAAGGCAAATACACTACCCACTGTAGCACCAAAGATTGGAAGTTTAAAAAGAACAGGTATGTTGCCTTGATTAAGAGATAAGTGCAACTTCTTCAGGTAACTTGCATAGATATTCAAATTTATCAAGCAGAGTAGAACAAGCAATTGCAGCATTGCTCTCCTGGACAGATTCATTTGTTTGAGCAGTAGGCCATAAGCTGCACTAAACTCCATGAAAATAGTCTCTAATTTGATTATGCTGACCTTGTGTTCATTCTGATTTAAAACTTTTTGAGTATTCCTTATATTGCTGACATGTCAGCCTTGTGAGCAAGAATATATCATCTAAATGTTCAGATAAGCTAAGAGACGCTCAAAAAAGGAAAATTTTGTGCATTCTCAGTAAGAAACAACTTATAGAGGAGACTGTCTCCCTGCTTCCTGCCTACCTCAACTCTTACCTGTGATCCTGGGCAGTATACTTTAGGAGTTCAGCTAATTGTAAGGGATACTTGCAGATCTTCTGCACTGGTGTCAAAAGGAAACCATCTATAGCAATGTCAATCATCTGCTGCAAGAGGCGACAGGCCTCAAAGAAGTGTTGGTAGCGGCTATCCTTCATCAGTTTGGAGAGCTCCATGCAGGCGTCCAGATGGTTGTTACAGTACTCAGAGTATATCCAGAATCCATCTTGCTATGAGGACAGAAAAACAGAGAGAAAGAGAAAATCCAATGAGAATCCCAAAAGATGTTTTAGAGAATTGTAAAAATATTCTTACATAAGAAAAGCATGGTACTGGTATAAAGATAGACCTGCAGAAAAAATGAAACAGAACTGAGAATCCTGAGTTAATTCCAACCCCCCAAATTATGGAGAGTTAATACATGACAAAAACAACTAAATGTATGCAGTGGAGTAAATAAAATATGTTCAGAAAATAGTGCTTGGAAACATAAATAAATGATGTTAGAAGAGTCCCTCACACCATTAATAAAAAACAAACTCAAAGAGTATTAAAGATATACAGATTAGATCAGAAACCATATACTGTAGAAAACTTCAGCAGAATTCTCCAAGAAATTGGCACCAAAGAGATAGTAGGCTGAAGGACACATGATTTACACACATCTAGCTGGGTTCAATCCCTGGCATATCTAGGAGTATAAGCCCTGATCACCTCTAAATGTGGCCCAATCGCATTTTCCCTAATTAAGAACTCTCCCGCAAACTGCACAGAAGTGTTGTCAATAAGGTGGTAACAAAGACCATAATACCAAAAATTATCTAATTAAAAAGCTTTTCCACAGTAAAAATACTCAAGCTATAATAAAGGACACCCTACTGTATGGGAGAAAATATTTGTGCACAACACATCATACACTCACATGTGTATAAAACATTAATAAAATTCAACCAAAAATTCAATGGCCACACTAAAAAATGGACAGGCTTGCTCAATGAAGACATATGGATCATCAACAGTTAGGTGAAAAAGTTTTAATCTTCACTTATGAAATGGGAAATGCATATGAAAACAATATTGAGATATCTTATGCCTATGAGAATGGCATATACCAAAATGTCTGAAAATAATAAGTGTTGACAGGGATGTGATGAGAAAGGAACCCTCATCCTTGGTGGGAATGTTGATTAGTTCAGCTCCTATGTAAAAGAATAGGGGATCTCTCAAAAAAACATAGAACCACCATAAAACCCACTGATACCACACTTAGCATTTATCCCCCCAAAAATGAATAATGATATATGCACATCTATATTCATCATAGTTCTTAGTACAATAGCCAAGATACAGAAATAACACAAGATATGGAAATGCACAACTAAAAATGAGAGGATTAATTAGTCAGGGTATGTATACACAATGGAATAATATACAGCTCTGAAGCAGGGAATCAGGTGAATAGGGAAGCCTCCATCCCCATAGCAACGAGTTCTTGGGAAGTGACCAGTAGCTCTAAGGCCATTTAAAAAAAGCCCACCTTGTGGGCATAGGAAATGTAAACTCCTGATAAGACTTTTGCCTAGTGCCACTACAGACCTAGAGAAAGCTGTATCCCCTACAGAATGGACAAGCTGGGGTTGGAGTGATAGCACAGCGAGTAGGGCATTTGCCTTGCACGTGGCCAACCTGGGTTCAAATCACAGCATCCCATATGGTCCTCTGAGCACCTCCAGGAGTAATTCCTTAGTGCAAATCCAGGAGTAACCTCTGAGTACCGCTGGGTGTGACCCAAAAAAGCAAAACAAACAAACAAACAAACAAACAACTGAATGGACAAGCTTCAGAAGAGACAAAAGACTACAATAAGGACATCAAGAATGATCACAAAAAGTTCAAAGATCTTCTTTTATGACAATACCTGATGAATTCTAACGTACACAGAAAACTCCAGGCCAGGGCAACATGAAGAATATTTATATAAAAATGGTCCTAAAAGCCATTCAAGACACTGCCTTTGAAGAAACCTACAATCTTCTCAAGCATGTTACTCTCTCCTTCTCTCTATCCCCCACCTTTCTCAAAGTAACAGAGGTAGGGGTCAAGAGAATTCAAGTGCACCCATGGTGTTAAGAGACGATATAGTTAAATATCAAACCACAGAGTCAACAATACTGAAATCACGAGATCCAAGCTATAATAACCAAACTTTAAAGGTCCTTATTTATATTGCAGACTGGGTTGGGTGTTGGGTGTAGAATAGGGAACCTGGTGGAAAGAAGTTGACACTGGTAGTGGGATTAGCGATGGAATATTGCATTTCAAAAACCAAACCGTGAAAATTTTGTAACTCAATGTACTTTTAATATAACTAAAATTTAAACAACTGGAGTGATATTACTGCAGGTAAGGCATTTACCTTAGAAGCAGTTGACTCAGGTTCAATCCCTGGTATCCCACATGGTCCCCAAAACATAACCAAGAATGATTCATGAGTGAAGAGCCAGGTATAGTCCCGGATCATTGCCAGGTGTGGCCCCAAAACAAAGAAGCAAGAACAAAATTAAAAAACAACCTTTTTTTACTTTGCTGATTGTTTCCTTCTGAAATTCATCTATGAGAAAAAAACTAAGGACCTGAAATGCTTGGGTAAGTTCTAGGGCTGACTTTCATTTAAAGAGCAATTCTTCACTACAGCCTGATTCACTACTCCCTGCAAAATAAGGTAGTACAGATTAACTCCCTTATTGAGAAGAACAAGTGGACATCAGGTGTGGCTTTATGACTGCCTACTGGGGCTGCTGGGAAGTGAAGTCCTTGCCATTAGGCGATCACCAAAGACTTTGTCAATCCTGAATTTCCCCAGCAGTTCCTGGGGTGGCAGAGATGGATAGAGAGAAAACAGTAGATTCCCTTCTGGAAACATAACTCTCTCCTTTCCAATTCACATAAGTTACTCTGGGATCCCCATTGGCATCAGCTCGAAGGAAACATAAAATCCATGCAATTTTCCACAATATGGATGAAATTTGAGGATATCATGCTGAGTGAAGTCAGTCAGAAGGAAACAGATAAATGCAGAATGATATTCCTCATATCTTGGACTTAAAGACACACAGCAAGGTAACAACAAAGAGCCAAATTCAACACAATAATGAACACATCTGAGATGAAGGGCTTTGAAAGATAGGGGTGCTGGTGTCCTTGAGGGTGTGAGGTGGGTAAACTGGTGATGGTTGTGGTGCTGAAATGATGTTCATTGGAAACTATCATTGATAGTATTGTGAAACTATGGAACCTCAACTGATAAAATAAAACAAAGACAGCTCTAAGGTCTGAATAAAAGTAATATTGATAATATTTATCATACTGCCCAAAATTAATTAATAATTAAAATAAAATGATCACTGGAAATGAAACAAGTCAAAATATGTAACTGTAGAGTAGAAAATTATATAACAAAAATTATATAAAAATTATATAAGAAAAGAGTAGAAAATTTTATAACAAAATGATGATGAAATGAGAGTGGTTCTGACAATAGTAAAGCATACCATGGCAAGATCTGTCTTCAGTGGATCACAAAAATAAATAATACAGGAGTTATAATTCTAGAAGTATAAGACTAAATTCTTTTTTCTTTATTTTATTTTAATGAATCACCATGAGATACATTTACAGATTTTCAGATTTTTATGATTGCATTTCAGTCAAACAATGTTCAAGTATCCATCAGTGACCATTCTCCACTCCCAATGTTCCGAGTATCCCTCCCCTCACCCTCACACCTTCCCACCTCCGTCCTCTGTGGCAGGCTAAACCCTCTTACTCTTTCTGTTTGGTAGTTGTGCATTTCCATATCTTGGGTCGGTAATGGCTCTAGTTGAACGGTCATCTCCATATCACATTTCGTGACTGGCCCATCTGATTTTTTGATACCTTGGCAAATGAGGCAGAGTCCCTGATCCTCAATTGTCGACAGAGGTCGGAACCCCAGATTCCTTCTCTCACTTGAGTGAAGCATGATACTCCAAGCATAGCTCTTTCGATTACTCTTTGGGAGACCTGAACAGCGTTCTCATTCTGTTTTCATAGGGCCCAGGTCTCTGAGGCGTATGTTAGTCAGGAAGAATGGTGGAATCGAAAAGATGTGCTTGGAGCCAGAGGTTCTTCATCCTCTTAACAACTTCTTTGATGCTCTTGAAGGCGTTCTACACCACTCTTTTCCTGGTGTGCAGTTCTGGCGCCAAGTCATTCATCATGTTGAGTTCTTGACCCAGGTACACATAGCTGCTGCATTCGGAGATGTTTTTCTGTTAAGAGAAAATGGAACATCAGGAACTAGTTCCAGTCTCATGAGCATTGTCTTCATGAGATTCAGCTGAAGTCCAATCTTTCCACACTCACAGTTGAAATTGGTCAGCATTTGTGCTGCTTGGCTAATGTTTCGTGTTATTAGAACAATGTCATCAGCAAAGCAGAGGTGGTGTAGTTTCCGACCGTCTGTCTTCACTCCCATTCCTTCCCATTCCAGTCACTGGATGAAGTTCTTCATTGTGGCACTGAAGAATTTCGGTGAAATGGTATCCCACTGCCGAACCCCTCTCTTTTTGTCAATGATCACTTCCTTGTAGAACGGTGTGATCCTATTGGTGAATCCGTAATACAGCTCACAGAAGATCCTGATGTACTGAGTTTGAATGCCCCATTTGGCTAGGGCTTCGATGGTCACTTCAGTCTCAAGAGTATCAAAGGCCTTCTTTAAATCAATGAACATTAAACAGAACAGCATCTTGAACTCCCGAGAAACCACAAAGAGCTTGGTTACCATGTGGATATTGTGCATCGTGCTGAATCCTTTTCTGAACCAGCCTTGCTCGCATGGTTGTCCTTAATCTAGTGTTCTGCCAATCCTATTAAGGATGATTTGAGTGAACAGCTTGTAGATGACAGACAACAGGCAGATAGGGCAATAGTTTCTGATGTCATGGATGTCTTCCTTCTTGTACAGTACTACAGTCCTGCAGATTTTCTACTAGGATGGAACTTTGCATTCAGACAGGTAGCATGTGAAGAGCCAAAGTAGTGTATTGACAAGTACTGGTGGCAGATTCTTCACTTTTTGGGGGCTGACCTTGTCTGGACCGGGTGCTGTCTGCTTCCTTAACAGCGAAATGGCGTGTCGGATTTCTGGAGGGAGAAAGCTGGGAAGGACATATTCATCCTGCTGAAT